ATGTATGTATGTATGTATGTATGTATGTATGTATAGGTAGGTGGGTGGATGGATGGATGGATGGATAGATAAATGAATGGATAGACAGGCTGATGGATGAATGGGAATGAGGAAGAAACAACAAATCATACAGACTTCAGACTGGGTGCTTGCCCTCATCTGGTCTTCCCTTTCATGCTTTAGGTGAAATCCCAGCGACCTCTATTATCCCCTCACCTCTGACTATGTTCTGAGACTTCTTTCGCAGATGCTGAGCACCAGCCCCCACCTTGACTCCATGACCTGGCTGCCCTGGCATCCCTCCTCCCAGACCACACCCACGAAGGTGTGAAATGAAGCAGAAATGAAGCAATTCTGCCCATGGAATCTTTGCCAGCGAGGAAGACAGGGAACGACCGGCTGGCCCACACACCAGCTCTCATTTCTCAAGCCAGATAGATGGAGCCCACTTCTTATTTTCAGAGCTGCAAACACACACCTCATTTTTCACAGCGATTGCTATGGAGCGGTGTGCTCGCTGGGAGCCCGGCATGTCTGAACCGATCAGGGAGCATTTAACCCCAACCCACTCACTCCCCTCCTCTGTCTAATGACACTGCCCACAGTCCTCTGAAAGCTGTTCCCAGAAACCCCGATTCCACCCTTGTGAAACTGGGACCATTTCTAGGAGAGCTGGTGATTTTCCAAGCCCAAAGGGCAGAGAAAACCCACGAGAGAGACAGCATGATATATCAATCAGCATCATCGCCAGTGGAATCTCCTCTAGTTGGGCTAACTATTAAATGTCACCAAGTCCGAGCCATTTGACCATTTGTTTCAATTTCTGAGGGAAACGAAAAAGACAAGAAAGAAAAATGAATTTTAAAAAAGAGCGAAAGAGAGCTTTCTTTCCATTGCCACCTCCTTTGGAGACTTCACTCTGATCTGGAAAGACAGATGCTCCTTGCTAACTCTCTAAAATGCGTTCTCCTGCACCGGGGCAGGTACAGATGGGACAGCTGTGATGAAGAGAGAGTGGTAGTGCGCACAGATACCCAGCCTCCTCGTGGGGAGTCTAGAAAACTAGGAGTGCCAAATGGGCTTCATCTCATGGGACATTGGTAGTGGCTGTCTAGAAAACCATGTTAAGAAAGATCCTGAGGCCCAGTAGGAAAGAACACCACGACTGATTAGCAATGTCTGCCATGGGTGCAGAATAAGGGAGCACCAAGGAGTCTCTGTGTATCTGCCTCTCCCACAAGGACAGGCACCACACCTTCACCTCTGCATCACAGAGCCAAAGTAAATACTTCAGATGTGTTTGCTGAGTTCAAGAGTATTATAACGAAGTGCTGAGTTAGCTGATCGCTCAATATACATCAGGCATTATGCTGTGCAGTTTATCCCTGGAAACCATGCCCCTGTGCAGTCAGTGTTCGCGTTATTCCCTACAAGGAAGACACAAGGGCTCGGAGAAATGCAGTGACTTTGCTAAAGGTCGCACAGCTCAGTACCAGCAGAACCTCAAGGAGTAATTCTGTAATGGCTCCTAAGTCCTCCAAAGGCCCTACACCAGTGTCCTCCACCAAGGTGACTTCTGCCCCACCCAGGGGACAAGTGGCAATATCTGGAAATAATTCTGGCTGTCACACTGGGGTTGGGAGGTGCTATTGACATCCAGCGGATAGCAGCCAGGGATGCTGCCCAACATCCTGCAACGTACAAGCCAGTCCCTACACCAAAGAATCAACCATCCCCAAGTGTTGCAAATGCCAAGGTTGAGAATCCCTGATCTGGATGTCTTCCACAACTCTAGCCACCTCGCGCCCCCCCCCCACCCCTGCCCCGAAAGAAACCAAAACGGTACTTCTGAGGCTCAAGTCTGCAGAGAACAAATCCTCTATTATAAGCACATCTCACTTTTAGATTCATATCCCAGTTAGGCTGTTATTCTCAATTATAGCACCTTCTCAAGAAGTAGAAGTAATTAAGTTTAGTTGTTTGGTTTCATTTCCCAGTATCTGATGGAAGGGGTGAATTCTGTCAATTACATTACGCAGCTACAGCATCATTAGTCTCAAGCAATAATAATCTCCGTGTGGTTTCGTCCGTGGGTGTGCAGATGTGAACTTTGAGATCCCCTCTTTCCTTTCTTCGTGTGGATTTCATTAAACTTGCCAACTCAAGCCTTAAAGCAAAGAGAAACTGTTTAAAGGGAAGGGGGGGAGAAATCTATGAAAATCCAGGCCTTATCATAACAGAGAAGGCAAACAGCATTTACAGCAATTAAACTGATACAGAAACTTCTGTTTAACAATCAAAGCGCCTATTAAGATGTCTCCATAGCTGAACAAAGCTTCTTTTCTACTCTAATTTTCTGATAACAAGCCATGCAGACGTGGAGGCAGAATTGTGTGCGTTCCTGGTGCCTTCAGTCCCAGGGGTAGAATAATAGAAATGTCTTCTCAGATGTTTCCATTTCTAGCGTACAGAATGGGAGTATCGCAGGGAAGGAGGGTTCTTCTCTCCTACAAGTACCTGTCTATGCTCTCTCAGAAGTTCCTCCATACAGAAAGGGGATAAACCAGGAGCCCTAGTCTTTGAAACCCCCTCAGGAGCCAGACGGACATACAGAAGCCTCGACACAAGGAACCGACATTAATAAAGCACTCGCATTATGAAGAGCTTTAAAATGAGAAACTCGG